AGTTTTGTTATTTCCCTATAATTTCATTTACTGCTCGAGTTTGTAGAATAGCGGAATTTATTTATACACGGGATTGATACATTTGTTGCTCCCAAACAACTCTGCATGAGAACACCTTGCTTCTCACATATTTGCTCACTCACACGATGCAGTTAGAGGCGATGGCTGACTCCAGTTAAATACTAAGACAGTCTAAAAGCGAGACATGTACTCGAGTGCTCATTATGTGTGCAACTACGAGCAGTGCACATTCTCTTTTACATGGTTGGCGGCATCCGGGTCCGGATATGTCTGTCAATGTGGACTCCATGGGGACAGGCACAGGATGCCTGTGCCTACAGAAAGACCATGGATGGCTTGCGCTGCACCACACACAGCTACAACCACACACCCCATATCCAGTGTAAACCCGAATGAATAAGGCCGGGTGGCTTGTGGATGGAAGCAAAGTTTCATCAACAGAGCCGGCCCTTACTCCTTCAAAGTGCACAACAACGGCATTCATATCTATCTAAATTGGGAATCAAGTGTACGTCTAGTACACACGGCGGTGGCTGGGCTTAGTCCGCTCCAAACTGTATACATAGAACCAATCTTTGAGCCTAACACAGTCACTAGGACAGCACACCTCGTCCACTGTAGCAATGATCAACGGTTTCCTGGATCCAGTAATTGATGTGGAAGGTGTTAGATAGGTGAGCACCTTGTCACCATTGGCATCAGATGCAGCCACAATTGGGATATTAAACAACCAGGTAGAATTTGTAGGAAAATAATCACACAAAACTGACATATAATATGCAGCAGCATAGCAGAACCGAGCGAATGAAATAAAGGGGAATACCTTTTATCCAGTTTATGAATATCTAGTTCAAGTGTAAATGGGTGTAGCCCAACTGCATTGAGGAAGCATGATGTATGCAATATCTACCTCATCATGAAGCAAATTCTCTCTACATAACGGGGATCAAAACCTGAACTAGTTTATATCGGAGGGATAATTGTGTAACTAGAGTGCGTCTTGCGTCAAAGAATTTTTGTTCCACCCGGTCCTATTGTGTGTAATTCAGTTTTAGCTTTCCACTGGAATGCAGCCATCTCACCCAACTTTGAACTGGCTCAAGATGCGTACGGAGTTAAATTAGTATTTTTGGATTGGACTAGACCAAACGGAACCATGCGCTACATTTCTACACAAACCTCGTGAACGCAAACGGATAGCCAACACGATTGCCTGCGTCCACTCTGATCCGGGAATTGGTGAGCCAGATTACTCTCATATGGCACATGCCATATCTCACACAGGCTGGCAAGTGCTTGTAGGGCCACTTACAGAACCCTAAATTGCTGGCGGTTTATGAGTACACGTCGTCACCGCTAGGCACAGACGTGCCACGTGGGTTTAACGAGCATGCGCTCCAGGTTGCGTGGAACTAGCCACGGTGTAGCCCGTCGTTGCTGCCCGGGTGTCGAGCACGTGCACACGCCTCCCAAAACGCCATCTACTTGCGCCACATCCTACCTCCCTCACATATCTTTTGGCTGATTCAGGCCTGGTCCGCCAACGCACAGTACGGAGCTGTGTGCATGCACGCACACTGGATGCAAGTTGATGGCTGTACGAATTATCGTGAGTGATGTAGGGAGGAATATAATTTTCGTAAGCTGGAATTCCTTTGTGCTACGGATGCGATTGTCTGAGGACAAGTATGCTCTAGAGCGAGGAACTACTGGGTGTCCATACTATCTGGACACATGGGGAAAAATATGTAAATTTGCATACATTTTTAGATACAATAGTGTCTTTCGTTTTGACTGATGCGCTTGGTCGTCCAGAACGCGATTTGTCCAGGATATTGCCTGTTTCCTTAGATTTTCTAATTACTTTCGCTACCGTCGAAACACCAATTTGTAGTCTGCTCGAATGATGTTGATTAAACTCATCTGCTATCTTTCGATATGACCACCCACCACGTCGACTGAGAACTACCAACTCAGCTCGTTCTTCGTTTGGCAAAGATATGTTTGACCTGTAGATGTAAAAAATATGTTAATAACTTGGAATTTTTTCTTAATTTACTGAAAAACATCCAAGTATACGAGCATACGGGTTTGAGCCAATGAGCTAACACCATATATTTGGGCCAGTGGGGAATAGGGATCAAATATGTAAATGTCATCCGAGCGCTTTACGCGTGTAGCTCGGGTAGCTTGAAGGGTTACGGCAAGCAGTCGCTGTCCTCCAATATCTCCAGCGGTATAAGACAAGGATGCTCGCTGTCACCTTACCTCTTCAACTTCGCTATTGACGAAGTCATGGTGATTGCGTTAATTGGACACGACTTAGAAGGTGTGGAATTGCTCCCAGGTGAACAAGTTCTTGACTTGAAGTTTGTGATAGCTCACAAACGTGCTAAGTGGTACTGGATAGGTTAACACTGACCATCAGCCATTTCGGGCTATCCTTTGCACCCACAACGTACAAAGCTTTTCTTCAGGATTGGCAGGTAACCCTTCCTGCGCAGACCCTCGGTGGAGATCAGCTGGAAATGATAAAGAAATTCAGCTATCTAGGCAGTTGTATCAGCGTAGTTGGAATGGAAGATGAGGTCACGAACCGTATAGAAGAAGCACGAGGTGCTTTTGCTAATCTCCGCCGCTTATGGCGCCGGCGCGACGCCACTCTCTCCCTGAAGCGTAAAGTTTACAATGCAAGCGTACCTTCGAACCTACTGTGCGGTTGCGAAATCAGGTTCATCAGATCGGTAGACATAAATAGGATAGTTAAATTCAACCACCGATGCCTTCACAGATTGGCTCATATCTGGTGGGAACACTGTGTGAGCGATGAGCCTGTCAGACGCCTAGTTTATGGCACAGGAAAAAGAAGTGAACCGAGCATCACCGTTACTTTACGCACCAGGCTCCGATGGCTGGACGACATGTTGCACATGCCAGCGCACCGGATCCACGAGGTGTATCGTTTTCGCACCATGAGTGTGGATGGAAGAGATGGAAGCGTGGTCAAGTGATGACTTGTTCAAGAGGAATGAAGGCACTTAGTTCGAAGATTGCCTCGGTTGGAGTCTCTCGCCTCCCTGGTTGTGTCCTAAAAACGACAAACATGTTTGGCTGGACACACTTGCTGACATGACAATGACCTGACCTCAATGGCGTTTGTGTTGTGAGTTTCTTTATCCCTTCCCTCCCCCTTAGCCTCCCCCAACCACGACCAGGTTTATTAGGCATGCTTAATTCCTTTTTGGAGCACAATAGCCGACTGTTAGCTCTCCGAAACGATATCCATCCGTTACGGGTGACTCAGCCGGCATGTCCCTGTTGCACGCGCTTTCTTCTTTTCCTTTTTATTGCGGCAAAACAGCTGGGGGTGTTTTTCACCTCTAGCTAACGTGTAAACTGATGTTGTTGATGATGATGGTGACGAGGATGAGGGGTCAAAAATTTTCTCTGCTCCTTCCCAGTATCATTTATATGTGGAGAGGGAATATCAAGGATATCTGTTCCCGAAGTAACCAGAGAGAATCGATGTTGATTTAGAAGGCAATTGTTTTCACGAAGAAAACCGCTTTCCGCAGCGCCCCAAGGTAATCAGTCGGTTCGTCCATATACTAGTACGCGCAACAGTCGCCTACTTTCATACTTGCTAAGAGACCATGTACAGAAACCGACTTCCCAATACTATAACTTATTCACACACACACACTGGGTCCCCGTGCCACTGTAAAGTTTGCGGCAGTTTTTGATTAACAGTCCGGGTTTGTACCCATAGAGAAGAGGTGGGAAGTCGTGAAGTTGCTTGCACTTGCTAACAGTCCGGGAGAAGTCTGTAAGTTGATAGCCATGGATAGATGGTGGAAATCGGAAACGGGTATCCCTCTTGGTTTAATCAGTCATTTCATTACCACACTCAACTTTGGGGTTTTTTAATCGGCTTTCACATTGTACAACGGATTTCGCAATACATCTGGAAAATGATGGAGTTCAGAACATGTGTGACGGATGTTCAGCACCATCCCGATCTCAAGATTTTGGCCCAAGTTATGGTTGGGGTACAACAACACCTGTGTATTGGAGGTTAGTTTTAAGTATGGTACCCGCGCCAACGCATCGGATTTATGAATCTTCGATGAAATTTTGATACTGTCATGTGGCAGTGCAACTTTGAATTTTCCAAACAATAGGTGTCTCATTTGGAAAACATCGACTTGTGAGTCTAAGCTAACTGTTTAAAGCGCACGATAGGGGGGGGGGGGAAGATGTAAATTCTCCTTAATGGATTTTTGGGCATTCGAAGATTATTCCGCTTGGCGTAAACTTTTTTCAGTATATATACTTGCGCATACTTGATTTAACTTGTTTCTATTGCTTCACTTTTATCTCGGCAACTTTTGCCCCCCTTTAACCCCAATAACAATGCAAGTCCGTACTTCAATGAAAATCCAACGTCCGTACCTCGTGACTTCCACGACGGATTGGGTGCACCGACCTGTTGATGGCTCTAATCAGTTTCCTGTGAACCATATCCTCAGATGCTCAGGTCCCTTCTATTCCCTACAATTAGCATAATTGTGCACATTTGTGAATTATGCTACTACCTAGCCCAAATGTTTTGTCGATGGTCACTGGAAGTGGGCAGGCTGCATCTACGTTGCGACTGCAATCTGTGTGCTATATTCAATAACGAGTGACCGCGGGCGGTGTTTTGATGTTTTTCGATGTTGCGTTCATTTTTGTCACAAGGCGGTTGATGTTTCTCCGAGACCGGATTAACTGCTGTCTCAAGCTTCTGATACTATTGTTACCAACACCAGTTGTTCCATCGGTCACTTCAGCTGAGCTGAGTCCTTAGCTAGGGCGTTGCACTGCTTGCGTGAGCGAGAGAAAGAGCTTCATTTCCAATTTCGGCATGCATGATTAGCCTAGTGTCATGCACTTTGCCTGATCAACTCTATTTATGTCTTTTTGTGTTCTACCTCCAGAGCAAAAGTGATGCTTTGCAGAAAGCTGTGACTGAAGCAATCGATTTCATTGTCATTCAAACGTTTGAGACAAATGCGAATAAAATTCGTCTCGAACTGGACAATTTGACTGTGATATCTCAAGAAGATATAACTAAACGACTGGATGAGGCACGAACAGCGCTGAAGAACCTAACTGCCATAGGATTGTCCGACCTAGATGGAGTTCGCATCCCCCCGAATCTAGAGAGCTCTGTCGTCATACCGGTGGAGCGTGAAGCCCAGGCCATTATCTCCACTCTGCGGTTCTCACCAAGAGTGAACCGAACGGTGGAAGCGCTTGATGCTTACCAGTCGGTGATTGAAGCCATCGACCATGTAGAAAATACCACCAAGCAATCAGAAGACGCCTTGAGCGGAATTGTGAAAGGAGACGACCAAGTGTGGCAAGAAATGGTGGGTCGCGTAAACCAGCAGGGCCAGGATGTAGGAAACGCGTTGGTTGCACAGGAAGCCCTTTTAGCCACACACAACAAGACACTGAACGAAGCGTTGAAGCAGTTGGCCAGAGCTGCTACTGATTTGGACCAAGTTCAACGTACAGCAGACAACGCGCTTTCAGACTCACAGGATGCATACAACAAAGGTGAGTGACACGTGTACGTGATAAATTGCCATGTGCCAGGTAGTGGAAATCGTACATTTGCAGTGATGGAATTTCAAACGTTGTACCTAAACAAACGGAGTCGGTAAGTGCAACTGTTATGAGTAGCCCTGGTCAACGATCCATCGTACAAACAAGAACATCGATGAAGGAAAGTATCATCTTTCTAGGATTCGCTAATAGAGCATATCACTTTCGAATCCCTCGGGAGTGTAACGTACGAACCAACAACCTACACTACTGAACCATGAGTGACGTTGGCAGAGTACACGATTGAGCCACTGTACGATCCAGCACCCATCTAATCCCACACTCACATGCATGGTACCATCATACAGAGTTCAGAATAGGAACACAGAGCCATGCATGCCCTCAGTAGAACGTAGTCTTGTAGAAACATAAGTCACTTGTATGGCTAATACGTTTAAACAAGTAGTGGGTCCGATTCATCTAAGCTCAGAGACATCGCCACGCAGGGTTTAAATGCAGATGAACTACCATTGCGTCTTATTAACACTCACCATTTACGCACGATCGTATAGTGTGCTCAGTGTTCGGACTTAATGCCAACAACTGCTAAACCATCGATTTATGTCGCCTTATCATGCTTGACGCAGTGTCCCAGATGATCAGCTTCTTAACAACACATTGCTATCCTGTAGAATCGTCTCGAAATAGCACAATGGAGTGCGCATGAACAGACACAGAACCCTACTAGGCTGTTTGGTTGTTCTCCATGCCGGATATTCCTAGCTACAAACGTTTCATCAACAAGATAGATAACATCATCAGCGCAGCTTACTTGTTTGGTTGCGAAACACTTGCAGATAAAAAGATCCAACTGGATGAACCACCAAACGCCCTCATCCGCACACCGAGCTACAATTTTTCGCGGCAATTTCCACCAGAACATCTTCCCATGTGGGCTTTTTCCTTAAACGTTCCTTAAACTAAAGTACACTAAACTTAAACTAAACTTTCCTTAAACTAAACTAAAAATCACAGTCAGCCTCACTCTGCACAGTTAAAAGTTTGGAAAACGATAGTGTACAATAGGCATTAGCTGAATTTTCCATTTATCCTCGGCTTTCCACAGGTAGAGAAATGACGAGTTTGCTGATTGGCAGTGCTATTCCTTTAAGGCATTCTAGGTCCCACCTCATCGATCTGATGCATCTGAGCTGATCAGCTGCAATTGAGACGTACTTCGAGATCTGATTTCTATTCGCATATGGGTGGTAGCGACGTCGTCCACTAGAACCCATGTCAGCATTGTCTGTTTGTCGAACGACAATTCTACAATTGCCAGAGCTCAGCTACTATGGGGAAATTCCTTGTGGCCAGCTTCACTCAGCCATCTTTGTCTTCTTCACGCACTAGCGCACATGATTGTGGAGGGTGAGCCGCACTGTCACTCAGCTTGCAGTCAGCCATGGTTGTCCACTGCCATCATCCGTGGCTTGAGCTGCTGACTCTTGTAAAGGGAGTCATACATTCGGATCCCATATAAGTAGACAGAGACGCGTACTAATGGTGCGTTACAATAGGGTAAAACAGCTGTGCCACGAATTCAACTATGAGTTTGTAGTGGCCGCTGTGTGGGTGGATTGTGACACGGAATCTCTATTGAGACCTCACCATTATATCATTATTATACACGTTAGCTGCAGATGGAAAACACCAACTATTGTGCCGCAATACAAAAGACAAGAAGGAAAAAGAAAAAAAGCAACAGAGGCTCACCAGCTGAGCCCCAGTAACGGATGGACATCGTTCCGGAGAGCCAGCTACCGGCTATCATTGCGCAAAAAGTGAGTTATATTATGCCTAACGAATGGGATCATGATTGGAAGGAGAGGCTAAGCAGGAGGGGGATGGGCAAAGGAACTCACAACACAAACGCTCCTAGACATATCAGCAAGTGTGTCCAACCAAACGTGTTCATTGTCCTTAGGACCCCAGCCAGGCAGTGGGCATGCACCAACCGACGCTAAATTCGTAGGGTTTTCATTTCTCTCGACCAAGTCATTGCTTAGTCTCGTCTCCTCTTCCCACCGCATCCCCGGCGCGCAAACAACGCATGTCGCGGGAATCGGTGTGCTGGCATGCGCAACACGTGACCCACCCATCGGAGCCCCGTGCATGATATAATGGGGCTGAGCGGTTCACTCGCTATTCCTTCATCAAATACGCGATGTCGAACATGCTCATTGCTCACGTGGTGCTCCAAAGAAAAATGAGCTAAGCTGCGGAGGTGGCGATGATAGAACTTGGCTAGCCTCTTTAAGTCTGTCGACTGATGGACCAGGTTTCACAACCGCATAAGAAACTTGAACGGACGAATAAATTATAAACACTGCCCTTCAGGGCGAGAGTGATGTCGCGACTGCGTTACAGGTGGCAGAGATTGGCAAATGCACCTCGAGCTTTTGCTATACGGTTCGTACTCTCCGCTTTGAGCCAATAGGCGCTAATATAGCTGCCTAGGTACTTGGATTACTGAACTACTTCTAGCTACTCACCAACAAGGGTCAGCGCAGAGGCGGGTCCATGCCAATTTTGGAGAAAAGCTTTGCGTTCCGATGGAGCAAAGCGTAGGCCAACACGATTGACAGTCAGTGCCAATCGGTCCAGTGCAGCTTGGCACCTTTGAGCGCTGTCACATATGAGAACAGTGTCGTCCGGATACTCCAAGTCTAGAATTTGCTCACGAGGAAGTAGGTCCACATCTTCTAGGTCGTGTCCAGCGATCGCTGTTTCTATGACTCCATCAATAGCGAAGTTAAAGAAGAATGGTGACAGCGGGCAACCTTGTCTCACACCGCTGGCGATTTTGAAGTGCGGTGACAGTTTGCCAAAAACCATCACTCTGCCCGAACTAAACGCGTACAGCGGTTTGATAATGTTTATAAATTTATCAGGCACATCTTTTCTTGTCTGACGGTTTCTGTAAGTGTTAAAAGCGCTTGGGAAGTAAAGCAATGCCTGTCCCACCGGAAAATAAACTAGAACCAAAACCGGAACCGAGATAACGTTGCTATTGAACAAAGTAATCATAGAAAAACAGGTAATAGCTTAACGCTTCCCAAACTCAAATGCACCAAAAGGTCCTTCAATGCGAACGCAATCTCTGGGTCAAATCACCCAGGTCGATTCATGAACCGAAATACAGTCAAATGATCTTGCACAGAGCATAGGGAAACATGTAAAGACGTTCAGACAGGTCGTGAAATCTGACCAAGATGGCCTCGTGTCAGGACATAACGCAATAATGGGCGTACGAGCGATTGGGTGACGTCAAAGTCAGTGGAAGCGAAACGTGAATGAATGGGTGTGGGCGCACGGAGAGACGGTAGAAATATAGGCGGAAAGAAAGCGGTCCAAACATGAGGGGATGACGCTGACAGTAATGAGGCGGAATTCGAACATAGAGGAAACAGAGGTAGTGAAATGCCAAACGACAATGTCCGTAAGGAACAGAGTTCATGCAGGGGTTTGGCAGACGTAAATGTTTGGGCAGACAGGGAATTCCGATTACAGCCCCGAAGGACACATCGATCTAGCGAATCGCAGGCATCTATGATGTCGAGAAATACGACCACGGTGGGTCGCCAATAAACATGGCGTTGCTCCAACAGTTGACGCAAAGTGAAGCTGTGGTTGATGCAGCCTCGATTTCAATGAAACCCGGCTTGCTCTTCGCGCATTTGGCCTTCACGAGCGCCAGTCAATCTGTGGAGAACGACAGAGGCAAACAATTTAAAGGCAAATGAGATCGGACTGGTCACTCTTTGGTTGCTGCATTCCGAACGGAAGCTTCCCTTGAAAATTGGGACTATGACGGCGCGGCTCCAGTCTGTCGGGACAGTCTCCTGCTCCCAAAGTTCCATAAGCAACTCGTGTCAATCATCCACAAGAGCATGTCCCCTGCATTTGTAGAGAGCTGGGGGCATTCTATCTGCACCAGCGGCCTTATTCAATTTCAACAGTCCGATCTCATGTTCGACTTCTGCGCGTGAGAGTGGATCTAAAGAGACGGCCCATGGAGAAGGACACTCAATGTCCGGAAGAGAAAGCGATAACAGATTGGTTATACTGCCTTTCAGTATTCGGCCTAACGCTCCAAGCGTTTTGACAAGTTGTGGATCGGCTGTCCACTCTCATCGCGTATGTCTCGCTTACACCAGGTCTTCTGCTGCCTATTTCCCATAGCAGACGGAATAACTTACGATGATTGCCAACGGCAGCGGCTGTTTCCGTTTTCGAAGCACGATGAGACCACCAGGCTTCGCGGTTTGTTTTCAGGCTAACACGCAGTTTTGCCCCGAGATCTCTGCGAGTCTCATGGTATTCGCTTCCAGCCGGAATACGTCGGAGAACATCCATAAGTTCCAGAGACTTTGTAGAGACCCAATGTCTATGTTGGCAATTTGATTTGCCACATGATGACATGACTGCTAATAGTAACGTATGACGAATACGCGACCAGTGATCCTCGATGGTGTTCAGTGGACGCACACTAAGCTTATTGAGACCTCGGTTCACTTTGAAGTAGACGTCGGTCATTACTATCAAAAGTACCGCATCCGAATTGGAGGTGGTCCTTTGCTGCTCCTCCTGACACTGACACCCCATACCGGGTTTCGTCCTTGTTTGGACTCATCGGAGGGAGGTAGTCTGACCTGGGATGGAATTCGGGGCCTAGTGATTAATGGCTGACTTTTGATCACTATGGCTCTAAGATCCGTGAGCAACGCTTGGCACAGCGGTAATGAATTCATAGTTGAATTTGGAGCACGCGCTGTGTGGTTGGCTTGCGACACGCAATCTCTACTGGAATCTTGATTCACTTTGAAGTAGATCTCAGCCAGCTTGTATATAGGGCATGTGAGTGGGGATGTGAAAGATGCGGCGTCAACCAGCCATGGCTCCTGTGCAGCAGCAGGTGCCTTAACTCCGATCCCAGTCCTAACGACAAGGAA